CTGGAACCAAGCAGCTGGGATTTGCTTGCTGCCCGTGCTCTCCACAGCTGTGCTCCAGCCAGCTGTACCTGGAGCTAACTATTTCTTCTTGCTTATTCCATCTCTTCTCAGGTTTTTGCCGAATTTTCCTCATCCTTCAAGCTTCCAGGCAGCAGTGATAATAGGTCATTGTAGGAATGGGTTTATTTATCCAAATCTCTTTCATGGGCTGCAAAGGATGGACTTCAAAGGCAGGAAAAGGGGCCACAGTGCAGGTGAACAGGGAAGAAGGACGTGCAGTCAGGTTAAATTAGCCCTTCTGTTTGCAAGCAGAGAAGCTGAGTTCTGTCTGCCCCTTCAGATGTTTTGCTACAATAGCAAGGGTGATTATAGAATGGGACAAATCTCAGTTAAACGGAAAGTTTGGAGCTGAGCTGGTAGAAAGGCCAGATCCACAGGGGAGGAGGTGGACGGGGACACGTGGCTGGGATGTGTAGCTCCTCTGCTTGGAAAAAACAGTTTATGGAGGCAGAGGGTACCAATGCTGAGGCTGCACATATACAAACACTGATGTCCTTTTTATGTCCTAAATCAATGTCCAGTGGCAGCACAGTTAAAAGAAAATTTGAATTTTTGAAACAACACCTCAGCCTACAACTGTATTTCTTTTCTCATCTCCACCCAGATATTTAAAACAGTGGAGGAGAATGCAGGGTCATTTGTCCCCTCTGTGACAACACTGATTTCATTCAGTTTGGTTTCCTTTTTTTTGTTATAGACTTGTACATTGTTGGAGAACAGGGTTTGGAGGATAGCACTGACATTTGCTTATTTTGGGTTCATCCTCAGGGCTTTAAATTATTCATTTTTCAGCAACCATCTTATCTGTGTTGGGATCAGTGTGTGAAAGGTTTAGGGGAAAAATGGGCTGAGCATTGTGAAAGAAACATCTGCAGCCTCTGTAGGAAAAAATGGAATGCATTTATTATGAGGAATGGAAGAATAGCTTGGAGTCTTGCTGCCTGCAGAGGTACAATATGGTCAAGAAGTCACTCTCCCAATTTTTGATTCACCCAACCTCTCTCAGAATCTGGTGGCTAAAATGTCTGCGCCTTAAATACAAGTTCATGTGCTGCAAACCCCACATTATTTGTTGTGAACCTGCCTCCTTCTACCTTCATCCGAGGTTCCCTACCTCTCATGCTGGAAGAGAGAGGGGAGCAACTGTCCCACCATTTATCCATTATGGGTTATTTTATCTTCCCTCAGACACCTTTCTCCCACCCTGAGGGTCCAGTCTATTTAACTGCTCCACAGATGGAAACTATTCCCTATCTTTGATCTTCTTTCTTTGAACCTTTTCCAAATCTGTCTTGGGGAAAGGTGGGTGGAAGTATGGGATGGACAGATGGAAGAAAGGCAACAGAACAAAGCTGGAGCATCCAAAATGTGGGTGTAAGAGGCTACAGTGTGGAATGATGGTCTCTGCTTTGTTCTTTAACCCTTCCCTAATAATTTTCAATTACTATTCTGTCGTCCTAAGCGTGGAGCTGATATTTTTATTTCTCTAAAATCATTCCAAAATCCTACTCCCAGGCTTATTAATTAGCCTGTATCCCATAATTTCATATAGAAATCAGTGAATCCCTGCTGCACTTTTATTTACCAATTTTTTCTGCCATCCTCCTGCCTTAGCACTCAGCCTTATAAGGTCTTCTGCTGTGCCATGAGGAGAATCTTGTAAATACCTCCTCCTTTCCTTTGTTTCTGCTGTGTGTAGGCAGCTTGGAGCAGCTGGAGTACAGCCTCTTTCTTGGGATAAAGCTATGGACAACCACTTACACCCTCAGGCTCTGTTTCCCTGCCTGATAAGTCCTGGTCAGACATGGATGCTCTGTAGCTTTATCTTGACTAGGCAGTTGTCACAAATAATTGCAGGCAGAACAGAACGTTCCAATGAGAACTTTCAGTGCATAAATTAACAGGGAAAAGAAGTGAGAGGGCCCTTATAGCCCCATTGCCATGCACTGTTACAGCACTCAGAGCCACAGCTTTGCTCAGGGTTTGATCTTACAGCGAAACTGCTCTGCTGTGATTTTACATAAATTACTGCAGACTAGTTCTCACTTAGGATGTTTTAAGCCTCTTCTGATCGTTGTTTCTGCTTGAAACAATGGCTCCAAAACTGAACGGGTTAAAGGATTTTACACAGTTGGGGTAGCAACCAGAGCCGGGAAGTAAAAATAATTAAATGGGTTTTTTTTATTTTTTAAGGTAAAACTCGTCGTCTACCACCTGTCCCCATTTTATCAGAATCACTGACATTTAGGCCAGAGAGCACATCTGGCTGTATGAAGCACTTCTTACGAAGCTCTCTACGTTGACATGATAAACTCCCTAATTGGGTTGTTCCATTCCACCTGTTTTTATGGCTCCCAGTCTGTAGTATTTTTATGAATAGTTTATGCCGTGCCGTACTTATTAATATGCTCCCACAACCTAAATGGCATCATTATCTGGAAGGTTCAATTAAAAGGTAATCTAGTAGGAGGTAGGATTCCCAATTACTGAGTGTGGGAAAGACACCTATTCTGTTCCCACTGCCTTTCATCTCAGACATAATTGAATCGGTCTTTCTCCCAAATAAAATGTAGCTTTTCATCCCTGTGGGGGAAGGAGAGAGGTCATGGAGACCTGTGGAGACCATATATAATGATGTCTATTTTTACCTCCGCTTTTCTTTTAAGGTACAATTAAATCTGTAGTACACTCAAATAGCAGACACTCTGTGCACTCCCTCGTAGGCAAGACAGAAAAATAAATTCTTTTCATCGCTATTTATTGTAATTGAAAAGCAATTTTTTTATTTCAGGTTCATTAACCAGGCCTTGACAAGTGCATTAGAAGTAAAAAAAAAAAAAAATTAATTTACATTTTATTTCTTACAAGTGTTTCACGTTGTAAATGGGTACCACCACTCTTTTAGAAAATGTCAGAACAATGTAAATCTGTAATTTAATATTCATAACTTAAAGCTCCAGATATAATTTCCAGGGACAACGATTGTGAATAGTGCCCGGGGTTTATTAGTAGTCTGCTTTTCTTCCAGGGAATAATAGTAACTGTAAAATCAAGCTTTTGAAACCAGAATATTTTCCATTAATGCTGGTAAATGAGTGGCACTAAAGAATGAATTGGGTTTTCCCACTTATTTTTTTTCAGAAGACACAAAGCCAAAAAACTTTATCTCTTTGAGCCTTTTCAGTTTGACATATTAAGTGGCCACTAACTGAGGGTACACACCTGTGTTACTCTCATCACATCTCTTCATTATACCCAGATTGCTCCTTTGGAGATGGATTTGCAGGATTTCTGACAAAAATGCCCACGTTAAGGAACCTTATTTTGAAAAGGATAAAACCATCCACCTATCCACAGTGTTTTTCAAAAATATTTTTATGAAATATTAGTCTTTCTCCATGTGATTGTTAATTTCACAGAAGAAAGTCTTGGACCACCCACCTTTTTTCTCTGTTAATTATTGGTTTGAGTGTGTGTATGGAGTAGTTCCTGGGCTTCTTTCCAAACCATATAAACTTTTTCCTTAAAAGATCTGAAAATGGGCATAATTTAAGATCACAAGGTGTTTTCTCCATTAAAATATTCCCAAGATTAGATCACAGTTTGGCAAAATAAACCAATTTTAATTTTTTTTGCTCATTTTATAGGGAGCTTACAGGCAGATTTCAGATTGGGGCACGATTCACTGGTGAGAGTGATGGACTTCAAGGCTCTTTTGCTGTTTTGAGACTGCACACAGTGTCAGTAAAGATTTTATGAGATTTTAAATAAATTTAATGGTGTTTTATACCCTTAAAGTAAGAGAATAAGGCAAGAAGTTTCACAGTCAAGATGCTTCTCATATCTCATCTCCTGGCTTGGCTTTTGGAATTGGAGCCCTGAAATAGTAGCTGGATTGTGAAGTCATTGAATGTCAGTGGCTGAAAGGAGCATGACTAGATATCCGGGATTTTAAAAAAGTATTTTACCTGTCATTCTTGAAAGGAGATAAATAAGGAGGAGTCGGTTAATCCGTCACTGGTGGATGGTGACTATAGTAAGCTCACAGTCACTGAATTCGTCTGTAACAGCTCATGGAAATATCAGAAAATGCAAGGATTTGTGAAGAAAAAAGGAGAGGAGTTCAGAGTGCTGAAGGCCAGTTTACAATAGCTTGGTGTCTAGGAAAGTGGGAATACTTTCTTGAGTAACCTTGCAAACAAAGGCATTTGAATAGCCATTCATTAATACAGTAGAACTACTAGTCAAAGTTTAACCAGTCAGCCTAAGAATGCTGTGCAATATTTCATAGCAACAGTGCTTGAAATATTTACTTACTTATTGTTTCCCCACCATTAATAATGAAATACCCAAGAGGTTGTTTGCATTTCTCTCCTGTTAAACAAAGCGCACTAATTTGTAGATAAAAAAGGGTCATTTTTTCTGTCCAGAGCTACCAGACATTTCAGGGTTTTTCATATGGAGCAGCTTACCCCAATGTCAGGGTGAAATGAATGTAGTTATGGGTGTGTTTCGGTGCAAGTTTCAGATTATTTATTTTATAAGCTTGTTGGCTTTCTGCCTCATAAATCCAAAAGTTCATGGGTAGCTGGGTTTCCTCACTGAGGGCTGTGCTCTTTGCAGAGCACACATCTGGGCAGGCGGGATTGAGTTTCTAAATACGGGTATCGAAGTATTAGGTGTCAAAACAGAAGCGGCCTGATTTTTAGCGTTTACAAAGGTTTGTAGCATCACCGAGGCGAGCAGGGAAACCGGGGACCACCGAGCCTTCCAGTGCCAGGCTGGAGCTCCCAGCTGGCAAGGGAACTCTGCGGTCGGTGTAAACCGAGCTGCCTGCAGACGCAATGACGGTTAATAGTGTAAAGGTGATGGTTAACAGTGTAAAGGTGATGGTTAATAGTGTAAAGGCACACATCCCTCCTCTATCCCGCACGGCAAAGAGGGAGCAGACCGCGAACACGACCCCATCGGAGGGAACGGCATCCCTTAGCGTGAGGCTCTGGCACCACCTGCGGGCGACCCGGCTGTCCACAACGCGTGTGTCCCAGCGCCCCTTCCCTCCGAGGCTCCCGGCGTGCGGACCGACACGGCCCAGCGCACGGCTGGACAGCAGCGCGCCCCTTCCCGTCCGGCACAGCCGCCCCGCAGCGCTCCGGGATCCCCGGGCAAGGCGAGGGGCACCTGAGGGGGAGCGGCCATGTCGCGCCCCGCCCCGGCGCATGCGCGGCGGCACCCCGGGAAGATGGCGGAGGCCGAGGAGTGAGTGCGGCGGGAGGGAGGCAGGGAGGGAGGAAGGGATGGCTGGAAGGATCCGCCGCCATCCGCGGGCACCACGCGGCACCGGGGCTGGGGGCGGCGGCGGGGCAGCCAGGGGGGGCCGGATGGAGGATGTGGGGCCGGGATGTGACCGGGATGTCCCTCCCTCAGGCCGAGGCGGCGGATCCCGCTGGTGCCGGAGAACTTGCTGAAGAAGAGGAAGGCGTACCTGGCCATCAAGGCCACCCAGGCCAAGCAGGCGCTGCTTAACAAGCGCAAGGTACGGCGGGTCGCGGGGGTCGTGCTGGCCCTGCTTGTCCTCCGAAGGAGGGAATCGCGGTTCCCTGCGATCGTACGGTAGTGATCCCAGGGATCGGCCCCCTCAGCCAGGGGTTACCTCCGAAGGGAGCTCTTCATTCCCTGGGCATCTTCTCCCCGTGTCTCTGAGCCCCGTAAAAAGGACAAGGCTTTCTGGCTGGTGGCAGTGGAACAGAAATGTATTGAAGAGTGCGAGTTGTTCCTCTCGGAACCTGGTGGGTTGTGTGTTGGCCTGGTGGGGTGTGTTTACAGCCACACGTGGGGAACTGCAGCGCTGCGGAGTTGTCTGTGCTCTCTGAAACCAGTTCACCTTTGTAACCCTTCATGGAAACAATGCTTTTCTGAGGGTGCAGTTAGAGTTAACTTATTTATCCGTTGGAGCAGAGACAGGTCATCGCGAAGCCTTTTTCTGCGTGTGGGGTGGCACATGTTGCTAATACAGGCACTCCCGGTGCACAGGGTGTCATTTCCAGACTGGCAGAGCACAGTAAGCCTTTCTAATTCCGAATTTGAGTCCTGTTCTGCTGTGCCTTAGCTAATACAGTACGTACCTGTCTTAGAAGTGTTTTAAAGCTTTCCCAGTGAAGCCCATTTCTGTGGGATTGTGTACAAAACTCCTGCCATTTTTGTTGGATGCTGTGTTTAATGTTTTTAAACACATCAGTGGCTTGCTGTATTTTCAAGGTGGAGGTGGAAGCATGAGCAATAATGTTAAATAGCCACTCCTTAAGACTTTCATTAGAAAAATGACCTTAGTGATGAGGTTTTCATTAGGTCTGCCTGCTGTGAAAATTCAAACCAATTTCATGGGTGATTTACAAGGTAAAATAGAAGATACATAACATTAGATTCTATAATTTAAAATGACTTAATAATTTAACTAGTAGTGTTATCTTAAGTATTACTGTGTGACTGTCCTATTAGTATGAGAAAGCACTATGATTTAGGTGGATATACTCGCTCCTAAGCTAAGGACAAGCAATTAAACACCTTTTAATTTAAAAAATGCTTTAAATTTTTCCATAATTCTGAAATTTTTTTTTCCAAGTGAGCTGGATGTTCTGTGTATAAATTAGCAATAATTTTTTTTTGTATGTGTGCCTTTGTATTAAAGGACTTTGAATGGTAGTTTTGAGTCACACTACGGTATTGCTGTAGTATCTTTTTTGCCCAGATACAGGTGTTGTTTCTGGCTTTCCCAGCGATTGCTGAGCTGGGTGTGTAGCTGTGATCATCTGTGGCTGCAGATACTTCCGTTTAATATCTCCCGTGTCTAGAAGTATCCTGGGTGTTGCTGTTTTCCCTAATTTATATTTTTCATGGGGAAAAACTCTTTAGTTTACTATTCATAAATTATATCTAGCTGCCTCTAAATTCATGTGTTGTCCCTCAGTTGTGTTTCCCTTGGCCTTAGATAATCAAATTTATTTTCTTCTTACTGCTTCCAAAGCCGAAGGAACGTTGTTCCTCAAGTCCTGCATTTCATTTGGCCTGTCAGATGCAAACCTCTGAGACCGTTGTGGTGGGTGATACTTTCTTTTCCTTTTCGCTGTAGCAGCAGAAGGGGAAACAAATCCAGTTCAGACGCCTTGAGACTTTTGTTCGGGATTCGTGGCGCAAACGCCGCGATGACAGCCGGCTGAGGCGCATGGAGCAGAGACCCGGGCAGGCGGCGGCACCTCGGGAGCACAAACTGGCCTTCGTTGTGCGGATTGTGGAGTAAGAAACTCCTCCTACTCCTTACCTTCATTATTGCTGCCTTTTGTTGTGTTATTTCTATGCAAATGAAGTGTGATCATCGCACTAATCTGAGGCCTTTTGTTGCTGCTGTTTTTACTGACTCAGTATTAAGGGAGTGACCAGGAGGGTAAAAAGAGTGATGGAGTTGCTTCGGCTGAGAAAGAATTTCACCGGGATATTTGTTAAACTGACCCCGTTAACCCTGAAGTTGCTGCGGGTCGTGGACCCTTACGTGGCATGGGGGTAAGTACCACTCCTGTGGCTTGGCAGTGGTTTGTATGGCAGTGTTACTGCCTTTTGGTTCTCCATTTGGTATCACAGATCCATAGCTGGTCAAAGCTTAACCAGATTTATATCTAAAACTTGTTATTGTCTCTCTTCTTCTTGTCCTCAACATTACTTGGTTGCTTTCCCAAGAAGGAAGGGGCTTCCCACTGCATTGTGTCTCTCCACTACAGAACCTGATTTTTGTTTTTGTACAGACACCCAAACCTGAAATCTGTACGAGAGCTCATCCTGAAACGGGGCCAGGCCAAGATCAATAAGAAGAGGATGCCTCTGACAGACAATATGCTGATAGAGGAACATTTAGGTGAGGAAAAGGCTGAGAAAAATGAGGAAGAAGTTGAGAGTTTACAGTCTGACCTGAGAGGGTGGGGAGGGAGAAAAATCTTACCAGACTGGAGGGCTGGCGATCTGGAGCAGCGTGAGGAGAGAGAATACAGTCAGCCATTGCTTTTTTCTTTAAATTTTTATTTTTCTGCAGGGGGCTGTGGTATTATTTGCCTGGAAGACCTTATTCATGAAATCTACTCAACTGGGAGGTATTTCAATAAAGTCACAAAGTTTCTGTGGCCATTCCACCTGTCGGTGGCTCGCCACGCGTCACGTAACAGAGTGGGTTTCCTCAAGGAAATGGGAAAGCCTGGCTACAGAGGGGAAGCCATCAACCAGCTCATACGTCAGCTCAACTAGTCAGGTGAGCACTGCCTGTTGGGTGAATTCCAAACCTTACCCTTTCCTCCCTTTCCTAATAACCATACTGGCATTGGACACCAGGGGTGTCCCTTGTTTTTGATTTGTCACTCTAAAAAAGTGACCCTCGGAGTAGGGGAAACCAGTGAGCAGTGTTGGTCCCATGAGGAATCAGCACATCCTGCTGGACACCTCCATGAAGTTTTGTGTTAACATGACTGACTGGTTTTTTATTTTCTCTCCTGTTCTGCAGGGTCTTTGTGAAAACTTCAGGATTTATAACCTGTTCCTTTTCACATGTACCTCTAGTGGACATTATCTGTATGCAAGGATCTCTCTTGACTGTTGGTGCCTCTATAAAAAGAAGAAACACAGAGATGATGATGGAGATGGACTTTAGCTGGTCCTGGTCCTTCTTACAAGAAGATATATACTATTGGATACAAGAATGAGCTTCCTTGAGAAATTTGACTTTTGCATCTCTGTTAAACAAGGTTTTTTATGCTCACTACTGCAGACTTCACTCCTTGAAGTGCACCTGCTTCTGGGTGTGAAGGGGTAGTGCAGTCACCTGTTTAAGAATAGGCAGCACAGGCAGAAGAAAACATCAGGTTTCTCTGTTACTGCAGTGCCACCCCTTATAGTGAATAATATAATTTTTTAGTTACCTAGATTGTATTTATTTGAAAAAAAAGAAAAGACATGGTTTTGTGCTACCGATTTACAGAATCACTTTTCACTTCTGCTAGATTGGGACTGCTGGAAAGAATTATTTCCTGGTAGGAAAGCCCAGAAGGTTTGTAATACAGCGGTGGGGTACATGTAGTCAAATGTTTTTTAAATAAACTTCTGGAATTATATTATTATAACAGAAAGAGTCCTGCATCACTGTAGAAGAGTGGAAAAAGTCCAGTACTCTGGCTGAAAGGAATTTGGTGAAGGAGCAAACAAAAACGTGGAAGAGTCCAAAAGTTCCATTAACAGAGTTTTAAATCCCTAATTTCTTCCACTGCAGAAGTGGATAAGAACACATGAAGCGTCCTGTGATGTTTAACAAATACGGAAGGCACTGTGCTTAATCATTAGGCCACTGTGACTATTTACACTGTTATTTGAAGACTTAAATGGGGGCAAACTATTAGTCCATAAATAGATTTCATAGTGACTGCACAAGACTTGTTTTGAGACTCATAGGAAACAAGTAGGATGCTTTCAGGGTGTTCATTGTATTACAGACTAAGATTCAGCATTCAAAACCATCTGAAATACAAAGTACTGCAGACTCTGAATTAGAGAATACTATAAAATTTGAAGCTTTATTCTATAAAACAAGAATACAAACATAGAAAATGCTTGACAGACACTACAGACAGACAGAACAACACAGTCCCCAGAACTAGAGCCCAGCTGTCATTAAAATACAAGGCTTCATGTATTTAAAAGTTTTCCTGATAAACAGCTGCTTTCACTGTACAAAAGGTACAAGAATTGTGTGGTTGATTCTTTTTAGGGTTATTTCTGGTAATAAAACAGCCCAAGCTTTTTACATGAAAACTGGCACCTCAGGAGTGAGATTTGTTTTTTTTAGTTGCCAGAGAGAACTTAAGCCTGCTAAAAGCATCCAGTTTAATATAATCTTAAAATGCAAAATTATAGGAACTGAGCACAATTCCAGCAGCTAATCCTAGATTTCGGCAGTTTTTCTAATGAAGGCAGTGGTTTAACACACCATTAGTTTAGCTTATGCAGTAAAGTAAGAATTGAACTATTACCATGATGCCAGCCTAGTCTAGTGTTCTATCACATTATCACAAGCACGTTGAATTTTTTTGTGTCATACTTCAGCAAGAGCAGCGGTAATGGTGTGGTCGTGGCTCAGCTGCACTATGGACAGAAACTATACAAGGTTACAGGATATGTACACACACACAAGCCCCATCCCTGTATCCTAGGGAACAGAATCCCTTTTGTAGGCCACCATGGTGTTCACTTTGTGGATCGTGGTGGTGAAGGAACGCAGCCGAACCTCTTCGGAATTGGTAATGAACTGTGGCCCTGACTCTTCCCACTTTTCTGGCACTGCCAGATCTTTATCCGTATATATCAGCAAGTCAAAGGCACCTGTAACCAAATGGCAACAAAGTAATTAATAGTAATACACACCTAAGGAGATGGCAAGTTTGAAGTGCATCTTCTAGAACTTGAAACGTACCAATGTTCTAAGAATACACTGATACTTGTTATATGAAGAAGGAGAGTATTTAAAACATGAAAACAAGTTATAGTCATCTGACGACACTTCAGTTTCCTCAAGTGTCGTGAATTTTTTTAAACACCTTAAAATGCTGTGGAGCTGAGCTCTGTGTAACACTTCATATGAACTCAGAGTTACACAAGCCAGTCCACAGCGAGTCACAAATCATATTCATGAAGACTTATATTCCTCAGAGCACAAATACTAGTTTCTTTAAGTTAGTTAAGCAACCCCAAATTCTGTCCTGATCTCAGTCTAACAAAGTGCTGTCTCAGAAACGTGATGGTACATGACATATAATAATCAAAAAGCCTCAGAAAATCAGCAGAAAAATATTTTCTAAAATGGAAAAGCTGTTGAGGCTTTCCAAAAGTGTTTGTTTTCTTTAGTGAAGTTCAGAACACTCACAGGCAGATTCCAACAGTGGCAGGAAAGTTACTGTGGCAGTTATTTGTCTGATGACAGAGCGAATTTCATCCTGAATTGCTTTCTGAGACTTTTCTCGGGGTCCGCTGGAAAAACAAGAAAACTCTGGTAAGAAAGAAAACTTCCTACTGTGGTGACAGTTTCCTCTAAATACAGTTCTCTCTATTAAGCTCTGTTGGTCTGTTTGCTACAGTATGTTTATGGTAGTGCCACTTTTAAACCCTAGGTAGATAGACTTCTCTAAGTCTATAGCTGGTCTCCCTTTATTGTTGTTTATGAAGCTTCCAGTATTTTTAAGGAATGTTAAATTTATTCTCAGGCTGAAACGGAAGAGAACACTTTGGCATGACAAAAAGAAAGCAGCAGTTCTTTGGGTTATGTACCCAAATGTACAAGACTTTGTTGAGGATTAAAAATCAAGTTTTGATCTGATGCTTAAAAAAAAAATAAGTACCTGACGATTATGTATGGTTTGATTATACAACAACTAAGAAAGAAGGAAGAGATGAAGGAACAATTACATGGCGTTGATCTTGTGCCTGCACAGCTCCTCGGGATAGGGAAGAGCAGGTGTGGAGGGGCTGTGTTACTCACTTGTCATCCTTCGCAGTTTTGTCACACTCGATGTCGAACTGCCACCGCTCCAGGACCTCGTTGTTCTCGATGCTGGAGATGACGACCACCAGGCGCTGCACAATGCACTTGTACAGCCACTCTGAAAGAAGCCAAGCGGTCACTTACAGAGCGAGAAGGGCCAGCACAGACACCAGGGAGGGCCCGGGAGGCTCCCCCGCACCTTTCATCTGCTCCGTCACGTTGTTGAGGTAGTTGGTCAGCTCGGAGTCGGTGGTGACCAGGAGGGTGAGCCCGTACTTCTGCACGCGGGTGAAGGTCTCGGGGGGGTAGATGCCGCGCTGGTATAGGATGCTGTTGATTCCATAGGCTGCGAGAGGGAAAGGGAGAAGAAGAGGGAGAGAAATAGCGAGAGGAAGAGGGATGTGTACCACCGCCCCACCCCGCCGGCGGCCATGTCTCCCCACCAGACGCGGCCTCCCGGCCCTCCCCCCAGGCTCCCTCCCTCCTTCCCTCTCTCCCACCGCGGCCCCCAAGGCGACCCGCTCCCCCGCAGCCCCTCACAGAAGAACTCGGCGACGAGCTCGGCGCTGCCGCGCAGGGTGATGCCCTGGTGCTCCCGGCCGAGCTGGTTCTGCGCCATGGCCGCCGCCGCTTCCCCTTCCCCGCCGCCCGGTTCGAATCGGGCCCCGCCCCTTCCCGCCGCCCCGCCCCTTCCCCCCGCGCGCGGCCGCGCCGGGGCTGAGGGGAGCGCGCGCCGGGGCTGAGGGGAGCGCGCGCCGGGGCTGAGGGGAGCGCGCGCCGCGGCTGAGGGGAGCGCGCGCCGGGGCTGAGGGGAGCGCGCGCCGGGGCTGAGGGGAGCGCGCGCCGGGGCTGAGGGGAGCGCGCGCCGCCTCACGCCGGCTCTGCCCTCAGGGAAAGGGGAGCGCGGCGCCCTTATCCGTGGGGGAAAAAAAAAAAAAAAAGGGCTCCGGCGTGTTAGAAAGGGAAGGTTTTTCCTCACGTTAAACTCCCCGCCGGCTATAGGTGCCGTTGCACCTGTTGGGAGGGGCCTGAGGGCACCGCACAGCGCGGGGCGGGGCGAGTGTGGGGCTTCGCCCCGGGAATGCCGTGGGAAGTCCGCTTTCGGAGTTCCTTTAGGTGCGTTCCGCCGTACGAAAGCGCTTTTGAACCTAAAAATTACACTTTCCAGGTACGAACTGAGTTAAGTAAATAGATCGTTTATGGGTGATTTTAATTTTTTTTCTTTTTTTTTTTTTTTTTTTTGGTGGCGGTCACTGTGTAAATCGCGTAGTAGTATCCGAAATAAAAATGGTATATTCTTCAAAAACACTGTGAAAAGGCAGGCGGGGAGAACCTGGCAAAGCAGGATGAAACGCAATTTTTTTCCTTAAATCCGTCCTAACGCCAGAAGAAAGGGTTTAAGGGGCATTTGGGCTGCTGGGCTGCCTTAGGGAAGGGAAATTCCCAGTGGGTCAAACAACTTAAATCCTGTTACTACAGGGATACCAGGGAAGGAGCTGAGATTGGCAGTGGCTATCAACTGGAGGAAGCTCTGGGAGAGGTTTACAGGTAAGAGAGACTGACTAAAACAACAATGAGTGTTGAAGTTTTTAAATAGAATGAAGGGGGGAAGTTGCTGTCTACTGGGATAGTAAGTAGGTGGCCATGTGGACCCTGAAAGAAGCAAATCAAACAATCTTAAAATGAAGTTATGTTCAAACCAGAAATATTTATACTGAGGACGAAAACCATGTGGTGTGATTGCTTATTTTGTTGTAATAAAACAGGTTTCTTTCAAGAGCTAAGGCTTTTTCTTGGCTCCAACTTTTGCTCCAAGAGGAAATATGGTTTGCTTCAAGGTTCATGCTGCTGTGATTAAAACAAATGGTGTAGTCCTGAAGTCATGTGTTGAAGTTCTGAAAGGGTCTGAATAATTTAAATTAACCAAGAGAATTTTATTCTGGGTCTTGATCACTAGTGATTCAAGTCTTCTGAACAAAATATTTCTGAGTAAGAGTGGTGTGTTTCAAAGCCGGGGGAATGGAAGAATTTTTCATCCAAAGCCCAGCTTTTAGCAGTTAGATAGCTGTGAATATCATCTGTTTTGCTTCAAATCTTATGTACTCTTCTGCTCTTATTCATGTATCCAAAATGGTCTTGACCCTCTTTTTTTTTTTTTTTCCTCCACTTGGCTTTTCATCCATTTTGCTTCCTCCGAGGTTTTCGGAGAGCTGCTCATTTTTGTGATAAATAAAAGAGCTTGAAAGCCATGTTACATGAGGCCAGGCAAGAATACTAGAGCTTTTGATTAATACTTCACGTGTTTTTGCTCTAGCTGTTTTACTGTTAAAACCAAATGGAAGAAAGAAATCCAGCTGGTTCTTGGTTCACCGAGTTGATTTCCCTGTGTTTCAGTTTGGGTGGCTTGCAGGTGTGCTGTGGGTATGACCAGGTGCATGTGCTTATCAACAGCAGACTTAATTGCATCTTCATTACTTCTCCCAAGATTCACCTGGCAGGTACTGGGAGGTGGTGGTGATCCTCAGTACCTCTGTTCAAATCCTAACCTTCCTGCACCTGGCACGCAGCATTTCAGAGTTTCGGATCACTTCTCTGTCCCCAGTTCTGTACTGTGGTTAGCACTGGTTTCTGCCCTCATGTACTCCCCTCTCCCCCCCCCAAAAAAAACCCCAACACCTTTGCACTTTTAAATTTTAATTTTTCTGTCTCTTTAGGGAAATAAATCCCCTTTTACTAGTTTTCTTTACGTTTCTTCTATGTGCTGCAATGTAATCTCATTGGTAAGCACTGTATATTTTCAGTACTTCTCCTAAACTCCTAATCTTTCCCTTTGTCTTTTAAAAAATTATATTTCCTTGGCCAATTCATTAGTTTTTTATAAATTCAGTCTTCTAAATCCATGAAGTACTGTCTTTCTTTTTCTTAACCTTTGCATTTCTTCTAGTGGAATGTTCTTCATCCCTTTTCTTGCCCACGCCATCGAGATATTCCTGTTTGTCCTTACACCGAAAGTTCACTTGTGTGAAGGTTTAGTTGCCTTGACAGTGAGCATTTGCTGCTTTTCCCTTCACGTTCTCCAACTGTCTCATCTGTGTTTCTCAGTCACAGGCTCTGGTGTCACTCAGCTTCTCTGCCAGGTGAATCCAATGCCTCCCAACAGAGGCAGCACCCAGGGAACACGTGCTTGTCTGTGCTACAACCAAACTGCGGTTGTCACTTGACCATAGCGCGGTCAGGTGTGATGGGGACGTGCACACAAGTCCTCCTGTCATCTTACTGACCAGGCACACTCCATGTGATGGCGGTGCCTGGAGTTTGTGTTTAGGGAATGTCCAGCCACGTGACAGGAGGAAGGTTATGGGGGTCCTGCAAGGAGAGCAGCAGGGAGACTGTAGGTTGGTGATTTGTGTGGCTGACAGCTGCTTCCTGACCAGCTCCGAGGGGCTCTCAGGAACAAAGATGACAGGCTGAGTTATATATTCTGGCACACCAGGAGCTGGCTATCCTTGCTTTAATTGTCTCATGCTAAAACCTTAATTTTCATAAGAAATGTGAAATCCCAGTTGTATTTCATTTAGGTCTCCTACAACTCTTCAGTCATTGTTCTGTTTCTCAATTACAGCTTGATGTTACAACAGAGTGGTTTTGATTCTCTTTCTGTGAAAGGAAATGTTCCCTTTTTAGCTTGGCTTTTCTGTAACATTTAGTGATTGCTTCCCCATGGGAATTGTCAGTGAACCTGGGACAATCCAAAGCACTGGTATGCCTTCATTTTGGTTTTGTTTGTTTTTGTTTTTTTTTAAGGTAACCCAGGTCACATTCCCATAGTCCTTCAGCAAACTAGAAGACATAACTCACTTGTAGAGTTCATTGCCATTATTAATTTATTTTTAACCTTCAGGATGGTGTGGACAGGTCTCTCCTTCCAGCACAGCAAAAGGGTCTATGAAGTGGAAGTTCTCTTAGCTACAAAAGCCCTCATATGGTATTAACAAATTGTCATATCAAGCCTCAGTAAAACCAGTTCCATCTTTTCTGGTAGATCTCAAGCAATTTGGAGTAATTTCTGGATGTAGGGAAGGCCACCAGCGGAACCAAGTACCATCACCTCTCCTTTATGTAAGAGTTATTTTTAAAACTTCCAAGTCTTTAAATCAATTTCCTATCTTTAAATCACCCTGCTGTGTGTGAGGTTCTTTACAGCTCTCATCCAGAACTCCTTGGTGATTAATTGTTATCTGGAATTAACTCTAGATTTAACGTAAAGTACTCCACTTTTTGACAGACATTTTATTACCAAGCTCGTTTTATGTTTTTTTGTTGTTGCTGGTCAAGGTTGTTTTCAACAGTCTTTGTAGCATAACATTTGCAGGATAAGTACAAGTACCTTGTATCAGCTGTCCAAATCACTAGAACATTTATTTTCAGGTTGGCTAGTGCTACTTTTTAAAACATAAACCATGGAATTTTATTACAAAGAGCAACACTGTGTTCTTTCATCAAAGATAACGAAAGAGTGGTGTAATTGGAAAAGATGTTCTTGAGTTTTAAGTATTCCTGAAAAGAAATTGATATTAAAAGGAATCAGTAGGGGCCAATGAGCTGCACTCTAACAACTAATATGATGAGTAGACTTCTCAAAGGGACTTCCTGATTTTGGTTTTGAACACCAGGTAGAAATTTTTACAATTATTTTTCATTTTAAGTATTATCAGTGGTACTGAATGTATTTTGAAATTAGGCTAACTTGGCTGGATACTTATTCCGTCAGATGAAAAAAAATTGATGTTTCTTTACTTAGGCTAATGTAAGAACACCATTTAACCTCAAAGTCCAGACAGTGGCAGCCTTGTACAATGAAATAACACTTTGTGGATGTTGAGAGTTTTGAAAGCTCCTTCTGTAGAACATTCGGTGGTATCTTTTACTTGTCGTTTGGGGTTTTTTTTCTCTTTCCCCGAACATGTGACATTTTTCTAAAGGATGCATAGGAAAAAAAAATTTGTGATGGCTTTGCCTCTAAACTACCAGGAGATGGCACCAGGCCCACGCATTATCTGCACCCTTTCGGTTTTGACTTGAAGTACTGCGAGTCCGTTTTGCCGTTACGTACTTTGGACAAGTTTTAGATGCATTTCTTTTGCTAGTCTGAAAAACGTTGTTCCAGAATGAAGGAAATACTTGATGCCCAGTTTTGGCATTTACCTGTAAAGACGTTTTGACGGGTGAACTGTTATTGTTAAACATTTCAAGTGAAGGTAGGAATCCTTTTTCAGAGTTGGGAAGAACAAAACCCGAATGAGCTTTTCGTGCCTAGAGAACTCTTAGTGCTGGATGATGTTGTGTTACAGTGGTAACAGGTAATGTGGAACCCACAGAATCCACCTGTTTACAACTTAATCCCCTTTACTACTTAATCTTCCAACGTGAAATTTGGTAGCTTGGAAGATGAATGTTGATCCAGTTCATTTTAGCTCCTGTTGGAGCTGAAGTTTTTGTATTAATAAATTAATGGCAAAGGGAGTTCTCAGGTAGCTTAGATTTGCTAAGCCTGTGTACTGCAGTTTAGCTTTACATTCAAAATGGGCCTTCTAGAGAACACTAAAACAGATTTATCAGCAGAGACTTAGTGGGTCATCAGAAGCTCAGGAGCAGAAGGGTCCACAAGATGGGTAGCATGGTAAATAAGCCTTGATAAGGGATTTTGATAGGATCCTGTTTTGTGATTGCAACATATTGGATGAGAATTGTTGTTTTGTGGTTGCTTTCTGATCGTGTCGCTTCTGATGTATAACCATGGTGGGCTTGTTCAGTTAACTGTGTTGCAAGGAATAAAATTAAGCTCACACAATGCCTAAGAATTGTGATGACTGAAGAGGTAAATATTTTTTGAAAAGCACATTATTATCATTAGAAATATTTAAAACAAAAATAATTGTTGCCCTTAAAAAAAATCACTTAAGGCCAGACAATGGGACCATTTGCAAAGTAGTTAGAAAAACAAGAAAGCATTTGTTAGTACAATTAGAACAAAATTGCTTCATTTTTTAAGTCATAATGAGCCCAGCAGGACATGCTATTCACTGCTTGCTGTGTTAGTCAGCACTGTCAGAATTTTTTGGGAGAAAAACTAGAGTGGAACAGTATTTGAAAAATCCACACTAGTTACCTGTGTCTCCCACAATGGATGGTCTCATCCAAACCTCGTGATGTGACATTGCTGGGAGTGTAAAAATGGAAACCAGATGGGTTGGTAATGTGAGCAGCAGCTTGGTGCTAATTGTTCCTTACAGTCTCCTTTACTTGAGATCTGATTTGAGTGAAAACATGACATTATTGCTCAAGGTTGTCCTTGGTTGTAATCTGACAGTTAGTAAGAGTAGACTCTTACCTGAAGGTTCAGGTCACTCTTGCACGTCCTGCAAGCTTGGGTACCTTGTGTATCTGTAGCTCATCTCTCATGCCCAGGGAAATGTTCTTGTCATCAAGTTTTAAGCTAGTTTGGCTGGGCAACATTCCTTATCCCATCTATTAAACCTGTGCCACAG